CTTTCCCTAAGTTAACTTACATCTTTGTTGCCTTTGCAAAGTGATAGAACTTAGAAAAGGGCCCGAGGTTGTTTCCTTGTGACTTACATGTCTCTTCCTGTGATTTCTCTTCAATGTTTTCTGGCCTTCAGAGCTGATCATAAAAGGCCTTCCATAATTATACATTAATTTATTTTTCCAGTTCTACACTTTGTGTCTAAATGCAGTGATTGTGACTGTCAGCATTTGATTAATGCTTTCTAAAGCCAGGGATTGTGCAGTCAGACAGGTTGAATCTGATTTATGGAAACTTCAGTTGCAGAGGGAAGACATAACAATAATTGGCTTTCCTAGCTCCCCATCAAGTGCTTCATCACTTAAGATTAACTTCTGCAGGAAAACCTATCAGCAAAACTGTCTGGCTCTCTGTGTTCAGAGGCTTTTATGCATTTAAATATTTCTTCCTATCTGACTGCTTCTTTGAGTCCCATCCTCACACTGTGGATACTTTCAATTAAGGAGTCCATAGATTACTTGTGTTCCACCTACGTAAAGAACTACTACTCTCTTTTCTACAGTCCTGTCATCCTAAAATGAGTTGAGCAGAGATGAGAGTACTCTCACATGCTAGTAACTGAAGAGGCTGCGCCTTTATGCAGTCTGTGTGAGAGCAAGTGCTGAAAACAAAATGCAGCAGAGAATAAGATGGTTCCTCTTGACAGTCTGAAAGGAAAAGGAAATGAAGGAGAAGCAGGAACATGAGTATTGCAGTGTAGGAATAATGGTGGGAGGAAAGGATCAACTACAGGAAGGAATGCTTCCACGGATATAAAGACAAATCAGCATCAGTTAAAGAGTGAGTAACTACTCCTGAAAGATCAGTTCAGAGACACAGAGACAAGGACTTTGATTAAAGTGAGTTTTCTGAAGACAAAATGCAGTTAGTCGTTGTTCACATTTTTATCCTACAAGGCCATGACCTCAGGGCAGTCGGAGTCAAGGACAGGATTATTGTCTGTTCAGTTGGTCTGTGGGCCTAACCAAGCATGGCTCCATCATTTCTGTGCCAATATATTTTTTACTCATTTTCCACATGAAATCCCAACCTGAGGCATGGCATCCAGTCTGCTTCTCCTTCTGCAGGCACCCTTCCCACATCTCCTCCTCTTCTGTTCCATCTGTCCTTTCCATGGACTCATTTTCCTCACAATTAAACATCTTGGTGTTATTCTCAGTTACTTCAGTTACATCCTAGTCTTTGTTAAATCCTAATCTTCATAGTTTTGCAAACCTGTTTTTAATACTCCTTTTGCTTCTCTAGAAGCAGTAGAGCTAATTTGTGTGTCATTGAACTACTTTTTTTCACCACCAGTGTGTCATAATTTTCACTCTTGCTGGGTAATAAAGCATAAAATAGCATTCTACAGCTATTAATAACTACCCATTTTTCTAAGAAGAGAGAAAAGTTGTCCCTGCAGCAAACTGGACTGAAGTTCTTTCCTTCACATGACAGGAGGGGAAAGATTTTATTTAGTTTCTTCCTCTTTTAACAATCACTCCTTCACTGAGTCACACCTTGCAGTGCTCATGTTTCAGTCAAAAGATGTGTATTATACCAGAAATATCCAACAGCCAGAGTGGTTCAAGTACACAGATTTTCCTATGCCACTTGCAGTCAAGTGCTGGCACCTAAAACACTTGTTTTAATTCTGTCCCAACACGTCTGCAGCAGAGTGTGTCTGTATCTGTGTACCTGAACAGTGATGCCTCTGCAAGGAGCAGGCTATGGCACTGGAAATGAGTGCTGTTATCACTCAGCATAGAAATCTTATGCTCATTCCTTTTCCCTGCCTTTTGGAAGCAGTTGACCTCCCTGACTTAACCAGAAATATGACCTGACTAAAAACATTCCCTGGAGATGGTTACCCAGTCTCACTGGCACCTCCCTCTAGCCCATACTCAACCTTGTGTGCAGCCCAGCACATGAATTGTGTCCCAGCCAAGAGCAGCTGTGAGCTAAAGGGCAGGGGTGTTGTAACTGGACAGGACCTGGAGTAATAACTAATGGGATAAATCACACTGTTCTGGGCAGATCTGGACCACTTTGGGTTCTGCCTGCTGTGACATGCTTTCCTTTTCCACTGCTTCTGCAGCAGCTCTGTCTGTGCCTCCTCTAGAGACAGGGCTGTATGCAGACAGACATTGACAACTCCAGGGGATGTGTATTTTTTGGTATGATGTAAGGTACTCAGCATAATCTGTTGGTGTAAATATTCATTTTAACTCTGCTTCCTATTCATTCAAAATCAATCATGCTTACCATGACGACTTACTTAGCAACCTTTTCAGATCTCTAGTAGCTTACAGGTTCGCTTTTAAGGCATTAATTTTAAATAAAAGATCTGCTTCTTTTAGAATATGCATTGTCATTTTCCCTCTTCTGTCTTTTTTCAGTAATTCACTGAAATGGATTTGCACAAAGGCAGAGATACAAAATACAGTTTTAGAAATATATATAGCTGTATCTCTGATTCTTCAGACACAGGGAGTTCTAAATGCTTCATTGTGTGATTCCTTCAAATAATGTTTATTAAAATTAGCTTAAATATACTGAAAATCTCTCCAGTTTACTGTCAGGAGTTTGAAGATTTCCCTTGCCAGGTATTCTCTGTAAGTGTGAATAATATGTGTTTCTTGCCTCAGACAGTGAACATTATCTTTGAAAAGATCCCAGAAAATGAGAGTGGAGATGCCTGCCAGACTATCCAAGTTAATGTTCTGGACTGCGACACCATAGGCCAAGCCAAGGAGAAGAGCCTTCAGGCTTTCCTTAATAAGAATGGCTTTCTCTATGGTCTTCAGCTGGATGAAATCGGTCTTGGTAAGAGGGCATGACTGTGTTATATTATTCAAGGAGTTCACTGGTCTGGCTGTGGAGTTTTGGTTTTGGGAATTCCTACCTCTGGCTTTGATTTTTTATTTTAACGTTTAGGCAGAGCATGGGTTTCGTGAGGAACTTCTGGGGAAACACTAGACCAGTTAGAGCAGTAGAACCATATCTGTTTTGCTTCCAGAACAGCTTCAGCATGCAGTTAACATACTGTTTATTGAACACATATCATTTATATGTGCCTGTTCTGGTTCAAATAAGGTGGCCTGTCTGCCTAAGTACAGCTAGTTGATACATTTTTTCAGTGGGTAAGATGACATGTTATTACCAAATACTTCAGTTTCTACTTACTAGCCCCATACTGCCCTTCATTCCAACAGGTATACATTTCCCTTGATGAGGAGAACCCACAAATAGAGCTTATTTACAGTCAAACTAGGTTTCCTGCATGTGCCTCACACAGATGTGTATAGTATCCACAGATGTAAATAAGCCCATTCAGGCAGATGAGTTGAGCTACCTCTTCTTGGATTTTCAGAAGTCCATGGTCCGATAAAAGTCTGTAGTTGCCAACATTCCACTTCCCACATGATCCAAGGAACTCTACATTGTTGGCATTTTTCACCTCCCAGACTCGCCCTGTAAGATGTTGGTATCTCCTCCCCTTCTCAGATACTATGTCAGCAAGCGATGATAACGTTCTCGCATATCTGATGGTTATGTCTACCACCAGTGCCTGACCACCCTTCACAAATACTATGCCAGTCTTGCACAGCTCATTTTGGAGATCTCTTAGAAGTGACGAGTCTTTCTTCTAGTCCCAATGTGGCCATACCACCAGGGCATGCTTGTGCAACAGAGTAGCTATGTTAGGTGAAAGCACCTCTAAAAACTCTGCCTGGCCCAGCACAAAGTGAAGCACTAGTAGCCTACAGTAATGGAAGCCGTGCAGGTTGTCCCGTCGGGAGAGGAATCTGTAGTGTGGGAGTGCAAAACCACTCTTTTGTGACCTACCACAAGGACAGAGAGAAACAGCTCAGTTGGGAGCCACTGGTCCAGATATAATCAGATCTTGGTTTTCTTTACAAACATCTGTACAGTGAGAATGCCACTGGGATGTAATTGCTTTGTCTTACTGTTGTACTGCAGAACTTGTGTCTGAGGAGCAGCAAAGAGAATTGTTAGACATTGATGGTTCTTCAGAGGTGATGGAGGATGGGATAAGGAAGCTAAATACCATCGGTCATTATGAGGTAAGCACGGAAGTCATACCAATTAATTGAGAAGCTGTTTCTCCCCAGCCCCCAAATGCTGTCTGCACAGAAATACCTTAATTGATCAGTATCTTGAACAGATAAACTGATCATGATCAGCAGAAGGAAAGAAATGTATGACAACTTTCTTGCCAATGAGTCATGTTTTCTGTTACTTTTCAGAAGTGTGTTTGTTGCAGGGTTGCTTGGTTCAAGCATACCAGGTAAACTGTCACTTCAGTTGAGCGCTTCAGTTAAACAAGCATCTGATTTCCATGTATGAACATTGCATCAAGACTTTTCTAGTCTCTACTGTAGAGTTTTTATTGCTCGATGAGCAATTGTTTACTTCTTCCCACCTCGTATTTTGATTATCTGAACAGGTGGTAGTGATTCTTGCAAAAGCTCATTGAGAGTCAGAATAAAAAAAACTGATTACTTTGCTGGCTCTTCTCTTGAGATCTGCCCTTTTTCTCTGTGTTCCTGCTTCCATCTGCTGGCACCACTTGTACTCCTATTTTTCCCCTCTGCTTCCAATTGCCCCTGTAAACTTTTCAATGCTGCAGTAACCTGTCCAGCATCGCAGCAACACACAGGGCTGCAGCTGGTGGCAGAGCCCTTCTGGGAGCAGCACATTGCAAATGCATAGTCAGCAGCATTGCCTGTTGAAGGAGTTTCCACTGACACTACTCAAAACGGAGGGTGAAAGGGCAGGGTAAGATGTGCAGCAGGTGACTGGCCTCAGATGGCATGATAGCTCACCTTTTGATGCTTCTGTAAGATTTTGGAAATGAAGTTAATACGCTGAGTATTTCTAGTGAGCTTTCTTCCTACTTTGCTGAATTTGAAGGTCTGGCTCTTGACAAAATGATGAGTTTTATTTATTGAGCAGTTTTGCTGAGGAGTGTAGGTCTGTGTCATGCAACGCAGGACGGTGCTGAGAAATCCGAGGCAGCCCTGAGCAGGTCGCTGTCTGCATGAGCAAGAGCTGTGTTACCCACAGAGAGGAACAAGGACTCCTGGCAGGACTGTTTGTAGCTTGGGCACAGCACAAGGCTGCACAGATCTGGAGCAAGCTCATTTGGAGTCGCTTTAGAGATCTCTGTAGGCATTTGTTGTTGCTCTCCTTACCTCCTGAGCAGGCGATAGCGAACTCACATGCCCTGAGTCACCATCCAGTGTCTTAAACACAGCTTTTCCTGTGCCTTTCTTCAGTCTTGTCTACAGATTAGTGTGGGACTTCCCTCCACGCCACTTGTAAAGGTTTTGTACAAATGAGGACATTGTAGTGTTGCAGTCAGAGTCTGTGCAGCAAAGGTCAATGTAGATTTGAATCTGATTATTTGAGCTTCTGTCTAATCTGATAGTGGCCACTCTCTTGACTGCAGGCAGCTATTTTAATTGCTCCCTAATTTTACCTGGCAGCTGTTTGCACTTCCCGACTTGATCGCATGCCATGGCTCATGGGTACCTTACTTCATGGCAAATGAGGCTGCTCCAGTTGGTCGCTGTCATCCCTGGGCATCTTTGTCCCAGCCCTTGTTTTTGTCTGTGGTTTCGGCAGGCAGATGCAAGTTAAGTTGGAGGTTCGGTTGTTTTTGCAGAGCTGTAACTATGCTAATTATAGCTTAGCAGCTGCCTTATGGAAATTGTACTGGGTATCTCTGATAGATATTTTAGTTCATTTTTTATGACACTGAAAAAATAACTGCATTTGAGGCAGAAGCTTAGTGGCATTTTAGGCAGTGGTTTAATGGCATATCTAGTTTATTTTCTTGAATGCATATCAATACAAAAAGGAATGTAAAGGTGTCTAGCTGGCAAGAAAAGGGAACATTTCATGTATAGTGTGAGGGTAGTCATTTTGCCTGAGGAATTCCAAATTATATTTCGACAGTGCCTAGAGTTTTATGTCAAGTCTGTTTTTTTCTTTTTGTTTGCTATCCAGATTTTTGGAAGTGGGAAGTACCATCACATTTTTTTAAGATACTCAAGTATGAGGTTGTGTTTTAAAAGTCCCAGAATCACCATTCACTCTTGAAAAGGCAGACTTAGTTACTACACTGATTTTTAAAGTGCTCAAGTAGGTGATGTTTTTGTGTGGTGTTTTTGAGGGGGAAAAAAATCCACTGTACTTTTACTAGAGTTTAATATGTTTCTGACTCCTGTGGTCCTTTTGCTCAATCTTTTTGCTTCTAGTAGGGTTATTGATGCGATTATTTATGAGAACTGAACTGTTGTTTAGATGAGGATAAACACAAGCCCTGACAAGAAAGTGTCTGATTATCATGATGTCCTGTTTCCTGTGCAAGAAAAGAGCTAGAGAGTTGCTTTCAGATCTCCTGTCTAGTCACAGATCTCAAATTTCTGAAGCTGTAGCAGCATAGCAGCATCACACATTCCAGGAGCAGGCACAGCCCCAGGGAGAAAATCTGAATGTGTGATCCAGGGAGCACACTTGACAGGAACTGGATTATAGGAAGGACAATTACATGCCTGAAGAACAAGAGGCATAGATCCACACTATTATATCTTCTGTTTTGCTAAGTAGCTGCAGTCCATGTTATGTGGATCTGAAGAGATCTCCCCTCTCCCTGTCTGTCCCCCCAGTGACACATCTGACAAAGCAAAGATGTTTTGAAGTGCCCATGGAGGCAGCCCACCACGAGAGGTGATTTAGGCAGCAGAACACAAAAAGAAGGGGTTTTTTTGTTGGTTTTTTTTTTGGAGGCCACACTGAAATAAATGGCAAGTATGGCTGCTGCAGTAACCATAAAGAGGGCAAAGTATATTCCTCTCAATACAAAAAGCTTCATTTGTTCCAGAAATAAAACCTGAAGTGGGGGCTTGGATCGTGGCTGCACTGCACTAGTGCCTGTGGGGAAGCGCAGTTCTCCCTCCCTCTAAGCAATGCCTCTCTCCTCTCAGAACAGGAGCCAGCACATTTTAACATTGAGCTGCTCTCCTGCTTCTTGGAGAGGGAGTGGAGGCAGCATGTTGCCCATCCTGCTCTGGGAGGGGGTAAGCTGCTGTATAGTCCTCTTCCTCTTTACCTATTTTTGGGGCCAAGTAGGAGGACTCTCTGGGTGCTTGTGTCACCTCACAAGCTAGCCTTGGAGCATATTCTCACTCGTATTGTGGTTTTAAAGTGCTCTGTGTTATCTGAAAGAGCTCTGAAACACTGTATGATAAATGGAAACCTTACCAAAAAATCTTTAAATAGATTGGATTTACTTTCGGGGAGCAAGTGTAAGTGCAGATTTCTTTGGCGCAAGACACAGCTTTTGATAGAGTATCTTACTGTTTAAACTGGTTTCTCACACCAGGCTGGCTGCCAAGGTTTAAAAAACACTTAAATTAGTTTGGCAGAGATCCCTTCCCAGAACTGGCCAGTTGTTTTTGCAATTACAGAGGGAAGTATACTAGCACTTGGCAAGACCCAACATTTGACAGCAGAGCGGTAGTGTAGTTCTCAGTGGGAGCTGTTTTTTAGTTACTCTTTGACAATAAAAGCGTGAGTTGCCAGTTTCTTTTAAAGATAATCATTACTATCCTAGCAGCAGTATAAATTCAGGGAAGGAATGGAGAAGATTCTTCCTAGAAATCACAAGGTGGCTGCATATGGATCTTGACCTTATGGTCCACAGGGCATAAATATTTTGCTCACTTTGGGAACTGAAGTTTGAAAATAGTTCTTGGGAGCACCAGACTAGACCCTTAACTTGGCTTGTCCACAGGGCATGGGAGGAAGCTCCAGAAAGGACTGAGCTGAAAGGGGGGCAGAAGAGAAATCTTCCCCTCCCTGCCTCACCTTTCCATAAGATCCTATTGGATTTGAGGCAGAGAATTCAGCCTAGGCAATCTGTGGAGATGGGAGCAGTACATGAAAATGCCCAAATAGGGCTGAACCAGAAAAATCAAAGACAGGAAAAGGCCTTCAAGGCTAGTTTGTGGGTAGAGCTGCCTTCCCACCTTGCCAGGTGAGGCTGGCAAAGGGCAGCTCCTGCCCCTGCCTGCAAGCCCAGCCCTGGCTGCCTGCTGAGAGTCCTGCACAGAGAGGGCTGGCACACTCCTGTGCTGCCAAGGACTTAAGGACAGAGGAGATGAAACTGAGGGTTTCTTGAATTCCAGACACTTTTGTTTGAGCATGATATGTTTGGTTTTGCTTTCAGATTTCAAATGGAGCAACCATAAAAGTCTTCAAAAAGAAGGCAAATACACGATCAGGTAACAAAGGAACTGTAGCCTATTTAATCTTCTGTGGGGAATGGACTGTGAATGCAGAGGGCTGTGCTATGAGAGGTTATATCTTGGTCAATAGGAGGTCAGAAAAATCAGCACTTTGATATAGCTGAGGCAAATGAAGAGCTGTGATACCCTGGCTCTGGGCCTCTGGCAGGGCCTAGAAGGAGAGAAGAAGGCAAAGAAAAGAAGGACAGAAAGACTTAACAGTCCCCAACAAATGACTCATAGTCAGAAAAGCAGGGCAGGGAAGCCCAGGTGACACAAAGTGCTGAGTGGTGAGACCAACAGGGAACATGCCCTGCTCCAGTGAGTTGTGTATCACAGACATGGTGGTGCACTGTCCAGAGGCAGGCGTAGCAAAAAGAGGCAGTTTGGGAATTTTCTTTGTTCTGGTTACCGTGTTTCTGAAAGCCTTGACTCAGCTGTCTCAACAGCAGGTCAGGAGTTAAAGGGTGCTTACAAGGTACCAGTTCATTTTACCTACCCCTGTGATGCAGGTTGCTTCAGCCCAGCTGGTAGCTTGGGGGAGGTGGACTTTCTGTAGCCCCTGGGGAGAAACAGACCCTCCTAGCGTGACTCGCCTTGCCATCAAAGTGGATGTCTGAAGTTAGGGGGGGTGTGTCCCTGAGGTGTAGCTCACTGGGATGGCATTGCTTACCTTAGCAACAGGTGATGATGGTCTGAGCTACACTGGGGGGTGAGTCAGGACCTGTGGATTTCTCAGAGGCTTCCCTCAGACTGCAGGCAGGAAAGCATGATGCTGAACCTGCTTTCTCAGCATCCCAACATACACCCTGCTGCACAGCCCAGAGCCCAGCAGAATTCACAAGCTTATAGCTGTGTGTTTCATTAATGCCTCTTTGTTCTCTGCTTTCTGTTAAGATGTGGACTACTCGGATGAACACTGTCATTTGGTGAGTTCACTCATTACACTGTTAAGTACTAGATTTAATACTGAGCTGTATTTATACCTGTGTAATCTCTGGTATCTCTTCATCATAGATTTTACCAGACTCTGAAGCAAACAAAGATGTGAAAGGAGCAGGTCACAAAGGAAAGCAAAAATTCAAAGTGAAGGAAATGTATCTGACAAAGCTTCTGTCAACCAAGGTAAACTGTAAAGGCCTTATTTTGGGGGAGGGCTGACGTTGAGCTTGGCTCATTTGACACAACAGAAATAGAAATGAAAGCAGAAATTACACAGACTTCCTGCTTGTATATCAAATCTTAAGTAAAAAGGTAGATTATAAAAATCACTGTGCTATGGATTATGGCCATTTGCAAAGATGGACACATTTCAGGTTCCCTAATGCTAGAGTTCTAAAACTGTATATTACTCACATTCTCCGTGTCCTCAGTAAGCCCAACTTTTTCTCAGGTTAAAGAAAAAAGGTAGTTATTGATCTTATAGAAACTCTCTACTATAGTTTGCCCAGCTTAGAGACAACTTTTGAGGCCTGAGTTTCACAAAATACTGCCCATTAAATGAAATAATCTCTAAGGGTCTCAAATTAAGCATCCAAAATAACAAGATAATTATTTTCTTTATTATTTTTTATTTTTTTTTTTAAATTTATGATACAATTACCTATTTATGCTCTAATACAAGGCACATTCCTGAGGGAAAAACCCTGCTCACTCCCTCTGGTAATGTAATCTTGTTTCTGACTTACTCAAAATGATTATAAAACTCTTCACAACAACATCTTACTTAAAATATTAATCACCTCACAACACTGAGAGCTGTGTGATACAAGAGACCTGAAGGGATGGTGATTATGGCCTTCCTGCATTTAAAAAATCTATCAATCATTATTTAATTAGATCGTTGATAACACTTGACGTAATCTGGGACACTACCCAAAGTGAGAGTGAATACAGGTCATTTCTCATTAGCTGGAATTAACATGGAAACAAACGTAAGCCCTTAGGAAGTGCTGGAGTAAACCAGCAGTATCTTATGGTGGAAGACTGAAGCACAAAAGAAAAACTCAGGTTATTGAGAAACAGTCCTCTTAAAGGGCTTTAAATTAATCATTTCTTTCTGCAAAGTGGGATAGTGCTCTCAACAGCAGTGCTGTGGTGTCCTTCACTGTGGCATTCCACCCATGGTATGCCATATACTAAAGGAAATGGCATTTGAACTGCATCTCTCTCTGCCTCTCACACACACACACACACACACACACACACAGAAACACGATTGCAGAGTTTGCCACGTGAAATGAACTGGCCAGTAGCACATTCAGGACCTGGAATACACTTAAATCCTTATTGTTGAGAGAACATTAGGCTTAACTGAGCTTCAGAACAGATGTGAAGAAAAAAGGCACAAAACTGTGTTTTGCTTCATTTCCCTCTACTTATGGATACTCTGTGATGATGTCAGTGAGACCATCAGCAGCCAAGCCCTTGCTTTTGTGAGCCAAATAGCTTCACTTCTGGATCAGAAAGACCCAGTTTTCAGTAGTTCTCTGTAATATTAGTGTCTTTGTATGCCACACAAAGCTGTTATCCTTGAATTTCATCAAGCATCACAGTTACTTGGCTGTGAAGTGCTGATGAGCATTTGTGTTCTACACATGTCTCAGGTGGCCCCATGAAGACCAGTGCCCTAGAAATCTGCTTAAACTCCTTTTGCTCACTCCCCTCTCACTTCCAGTCACAAGGTCCAAATAGCCTTTAGCAATGGTGCCAAGAGTCTCTGAAGAGCTGCTGTTGTCTTTGTTCAGGAAACTCAGTGAGTGATTCCTTCCACCTACGATTTATCACAAACTTCACCACAATTCTTCTGACAGTAAAGTGTCAGGGCATGTGACATTTGAAAGCAGCTCCTTATGGTGTATTTGTGGTTTCATTTTTGCTATTGACAGACTTGTTTGCCAATAACTTATGGCCTAGATGTTTGCCACAAGCATATTGAAGTTTCTGTATGTGGTTGCCTTGGGGCACACTCACTTCTCAGAGACAAGAAATCCTGCTCCTTTATTGTGTAATACTAGTACTGTTCATTGTCTTACTTTTCAGGTTGCAATTCATTCAGTTGTTGAAAAGCTCTTCAGGAGCATTTGGAGTTTACCCAACAATAAAGCACCTGTTGCCATCAAGTACTTTTTTGACTTTCTGGATGCCCAAGCTGAGAGCAAAAAAATTACTGACCCTGATGTGGTCCATATCTGGAAAACCAACAGGTAGGCCTGTATGATCTGTACAGGAGTGTGGTCACTGAAATGCTGAAATGTAGTTGCCAAGATGAAACAGGTCACCTGTGAGCAGAAGAATAAGATTTTGGCATGTCTGGGTGAAGACACATTTTGGCTTTGTAGGTCACATTAGTAAATTGGTTGGATGCTGGTAGAAACAGCCATAGTTTCCAGGAGTGTGAGTCTGCACAAGATCCTCCCACTCAGAAAGAAGTCTCTGCAGGTTGAGAGTATTATTTGAAGATGAAGGGGTGACTGATGAGTTTGCTCTGTAGCCCTTATTCCCTGATCCCTTTTTTAACATGAATAAGCAGCCCAGAAACATGCTTCTTTCCATGAGTGCAGTGCAGTTAAATTACCATTTTAAAGCAGTTGTGTGACCTGAGTGGTTAATTTTAAAGGTGCTTGTTCTTTCTGTGTCTAGTCTTCCTCTTCGCTTCTGGGTGAACATACTGAAGAATCCCCAATTTGTCTTTGATATTAAGAAGACTTCACATATAGATGGCTGTTTGTCTGTAATCGCACAAGCTTTCATGGATGCCTTTTCTCTAGCAGAACAGACACTGGGGAAGGTAATGCTGCCCTTCCAGCCTTTTGCTAACTTCTCCACCCATGTCTTTTGCAGCTGTAAAATGGCTCAGGGATGAAGTTCTGGATCTGCTGACACTGGGGGCAAAACTGTCAGTGGCCTAATGAAGTTGTGTTTCTATTCCTTGTTGCTCTGCATCCCAAGACTGTGAAGAATTCACTGAAGCAGACAGAGGCAGCTTCTAGAATGCCATATTTATAGTTAACTGCTGTTTGTCTTACCTGCTGTTCCTTTCTACATAATGTTCTTCTAGAATATGTATAAGAGGGTGGAAGTTGTAAGATTTTAATTGAGCTTTAAAGAATTTTTAAACAAAGGTCTTAAAAGTATTAATATAAATTGATAAGTAGTCCAAATTTTGTCTGCCATGCACCTATTTAAAGAAAACATCCACAGTCAGCTTCTGGGAGCTGCAAGGACACTTGAAAGAGCTCCCTTGAGCTCTTTGAAACAGTTCCTTTCACATGTAAGAGCTTCTCCATTTTTACATGCAAAACTATTTGCTGGAGTAACAAGTCCAGAAATCTTACGTTCAAAAGATATTTAGTTCTGTGTCCAGAACTCTGGGGATCAGAAATGCATAATTATTCCTGAGGATATTTTTCTTTTTCTTTGGACCAAAGCAGGAAGCATTTGTTCAGGCTCCTACTACCAAGAAAAACAAGGTAGAGATTTTTTTGCCTAAAAAATGTATATAATAAGGGACTATTTTCCTATGTGATCTGAACCAACTGCTTATCTGTTAAAGGTAAATAACAAATATGCTTATTTATCTTATTTTAGGATTGAACTGTCATGAATTAAAACTTATCATTTACTTGATGGCAAAACTGCAGATGAGCATGGTCTCTTAGATTTCTATGGTTAACATCCATTGTGCAATCCTGTTGATACAATTGCTCCCATTAACCATTTGAAAAGGGATGCTGAAACCTGATAAAGGTGTGCAATGCTGTAAACTGCTTGTGACATTGTAGTACTAAAATGCATTTACTTTCACAATTTTTAGCCTCTTATCTTAAAACATTATTTAGCTGCTTAAAGAACAAATGTTTAAATTACTGTGGAAACAGTAGTGACAGGGTGTCACGTGCTTGTGTCATTTATTCCTCAGAATTGTAACTAGAGCAGTGACAGGAAAATACCAGCCACCACTTTTACATTCTGAAAACGTGGTTTCCAGGTGGGACTTCAGCTCCTACCACAAACAACAGCATTTATTTCCTTGGATGAACCTGAAGCTGCTTGGGTAGGTCAGCACGGACCTGGGTTGTGGAAGCCCTAGAGAAAAACAGTAAATCCCTTTAGCTGTGCTTGCCTGACAGTCAGTTCTTCCTGCATAGAAGGAGTAGTAGGGACCAAAATGTTTTAGGGGAACCTCTGCCAGCACAGAATCTAGCAAGACTCTCTGGCATGTTCCCCTAGGGAAACTTCCCACAGCACTGCGCTATCCTCTATGTAAATAGGGTATCAGCCTGAAGCCCTTGGGTTCAGCTTTCACAATCTTTCAGGTTCAGGGAGGGGTGAGGAGGAAGTAAGAAAGAAAAACATGTCTAAGGGACAAATGTTCCTCCCTCCTGATGCCAACGGAAATAATAATCTGGCAACTGTCGTGAAACACAATACATTATTACTGGGGTCCTGCGTCTGCTCTTCATTTTTATTTCATAATCTTGATTCCTTGCATCTGCAAGGAGACGTGAGTCACACAGAGAATAGACACAATTAGATGCAATTAACTATGTGGAGGTGGAACCTTAGGAAATCTGTGCTGTGAAAATTGACAAGGCTTCAAATATTTTCTTTTAAGGAAGCACCGACAAATAAACTTCTCTATGCTAAGGACATTCCACTCTACAAGAAGGAGGTGAAAGCGTATTATAAAGCCATCAGGGATCTGCCTCCACTGACCACTTCAGAGGTTGAAGAATTTCTAACTCAGGAATCTAAGGTACAGTTGAGAAGTGGGAACTTAACTTGCTTTCACATTAAGTTTATTTTTTAAAGAGAACTACCTGTCTGTTTTCTGTTTTAGAAACATGAAAATGAATTTAATGAGAAAGTGGCCTTGATTGAAATCTACAAATACATAGTGAAATATTATGATGAGGTAAGCATGTCTGCTATTCCTCCTTAACCCCTTAATGTTAACTTGCTACCTCAGGCTTGAAAGTTGGGCTTGACAAAAGCACCAAGGCCTGGCATGGCCTGTGGCTCCAGAAACAGCCCCTCAGTGGTGCAGCTGAGGCTGCTCCTGCTGCTGAGCTGTGTGGGGCCAGAGCAGCACAGCCTCCCCCCACCTGGCAGAGGGGTCACAGGCCAAAAGTTTGAAAATGCACTTTTACTGTCACTGCTGTGTTTCACAGAGATAGTAGCAGTTACATTCTCTCTGCATTTTGAGAAAGTTCTTACATAGTCTAGAGTTCTTGTTTTACTGTATTTGCAGAGTATCTGCTAATGCCTGTCACAAGTTCTGTGCATGCGCTTCATTTCCCTGGAGATTCAGAAATCAGATTAGACTGTAGCACCAGGGACCTCGATTTAACAGGCAGTACAAACACCTCAGTGGAGCACACTCAGCCTTCCAGCAAGAGGTGTCCGTTCCTTTCCCATCATAGCTCTCTTACGCTCTGCTCTAATGGTCTCCTCTTAAAATAAGAAGCTGTAGGTCAACAGTCTCTGCTATTTCTAACAAAAGAAATATTTTCTCAACTGAAAGCACTTACTTACAGGCTACCTCTAAGCTGCTTCCTAAGAAAATCCCTGCCCTCCACTTTGCACAACAGGATTCTCCACGCTATCTTGCTCAGCATCCTTAACAGAGGCTGCGTGTGCCTGCGCAGGGAGGCAGATAAGAGCCAGCTGGGGTGTGTTGCCTGAAGGCCTCGTTACCACTTCCAGCAGGTTGTCTGGGTCTCCCAGCAACCAGACCTTTCTCTCTTTCATCCCCAGCAGCACAGCATCAGCATTTGCTGTAATCATCCAGCTCTCAGTCACCTGTTAGCTATCTTACCACTTCTGATCTCCAGTGCCTCAAATGATCTGGGTTCTGTGTCTAATCTTTGCCTCTTAAAAGAAGCTTGGAATGATACTAGGAATGGCACCACACTTTATTAAGCTCACTAAAATTGTTGACATAGGAGACTTCAGCATACTTTCTAATCTTAGGGCCCTTTTTTGCCTTTTTGAAGTTAGTACTGGCTAAGCTTACCCATATCGTTAGAAGGAAACCCTCCCTTTGCTCTTTCTCCTCTGGCTTTTAGCTGGGAGTAGCTAAATCTCATTCATGGTTTGCTGAGACCTCAGTTGCTTCGTTGAGTTGCCAGCAAAGAGTTTCAGACAGCAGCACTGCTCCTTTCTGTCACCTGGGCTGGTGTCAAATGGGCCAGTTAGAGAAAGAGGCAGTTGGTTGCCCTAAATTCATAGGGCAGAGGAAAAAAAATAAAGTATCCTTTGTAAATCTGCTCTAGGGTAAAACTAGAGCACTGGTCTTGCCTCAAGCTTCAAGAGATGAACATGTGCTGGATTTGTTTGGGTTTTTTTGCTTGGCTCTGTCATTCTTTTGTGGAAGTGTTGCAAATCCTGTAATCATAAGGACTTGAAAGGAAAACTACCAAAATAAAGTGTTGAAGTCAGAAAAGAATGTTTACATCTAGGCAAGCATTCAGATGTTTTTTTCTGCCAGTAGTTGTCAGAATGCAGAAAAGCAGTCTTTAAAAACCAGCAAGTAAAATAAGCCGCTAAAAAAATGATTCTCTTTTTTGCTAATTGTTAACAGATTGTCAGCAAACTTGAGCGAGAACGGGGGTTTGAAGAAGTCCAGAAACAGCTCCAGCAAGTAAAAGCCTTATTTGATGAAAAGAAAAAATGCAAATGGCTTTGAGCAGAGCACTGACTCACAGTGTCGATGTGGGGGATTTTAAATAAGCGCTACTGCTCCCAAAACTGTTTTGACTGACTATATGTACAGGGTTTGAAATATTTGGACTCTTATCCACTCTGACCATTCCAAGTGAAAATCAACGTTTGGGAATGAAGTATGGGCAGGCTTACATATTCAAACATGGGCATGTGAAAGCAAAAGTCTAGTGTTGGCATGGCCAGCATTTTTAGGTACTTGAGCACACATACCTTTTGGATCAAAAATACTGCCTAAGTAAGCTTTGTGCTTACTTAAAAACAAGCTTGCAGGAGATGCATAAACACATTGCAAGTTCAGAGTTGCCTGTGTGAACCTGTAAGTTGCCTAGCTCTTTTTTTTTAAGAGAGAAAGATGATGTTTTGCCACATCCTTTCAGCAACTTCAGCAAACTGTGAGGATGAGCTCCAGCTTCAGCTGCAGTTTCCTTCCTTCCAGACAAATGTACACTGGTTCCTGTTCAAAAAAAAAAACAAACAACAAACAAAACAAAACAGCACCAAAGTGACACTTAGGACAAGTGTATTTAGTAGAAAAAAGTGGGACTGCAGTTTAAAAGTCCAAATGCCACATGGCAGGGCATGTTAGGTTAGAAATTCCATGTGCAAACTGAAGCCTCCACTGAGCAGGCTTTTTGAGAAAGGCACTAGACCGGCATCAGTCTGTGTTTACATTTCTACCTTTCCATCCTTAAATAAGCTGTGAAACACTTGTGAGCAGCTTCACACATGAAGCCTCCATGCAGCTGTACTGCATGGGAGCACCTTTGTGATTGATAAAGCAGCTGATGATGGCTGCACTTCAGTGCACAAACCTGTACTCAGGTGCATGATTGGCCCGTGCATCAGTGCAGACAGTCCTGGCCATTCGTGTACAAGGGCCTCACAAATCTAAAGCCAGCATATTTTTTTTTCAGGTTGTCCACACAAAGGCTTTGTCAAAAGAGGGTTAGTTTAACATCATGTCAGAAGAGGGGGGGGCTGATGTAATCTCTGACTGTGGATGAGAAACTGATACAAGTGGTGGTGGTGCGGGTAGGGAGGGTCTAACTGCCTGCTTTAGTCCTGCTGGGGTGTTTTTTGAGGCTTGGCTGTGTTCAAAGGAGGGTGTCCATTACATTTGCATCGGTGGCTAAAGTTAGCCCAGCTGGAAAGCAGGTGGGTGGCCATGCTGCTGAGACGAGGCTGGTGCGGTGGCTGCCATGCAAAACCACGGAGGAGCAGCCGTGACTCTGGCTCTGCTACTGCACCAGCGGAATCCTACCCTTCACTACAGAGTTGACATTTTTTTGTTGCCATGGACTCTGCTGCAGTCTCACGGAGGCACTTTACTGAGGCTGCAGACAGTTACAGTTGAGGTAAGGTGCTGATGAGATGGAGACTCGCTTCCACGTTTCCAGAGGGACCCACCGCTGGAGGCAAGTGGGGTAGCACAGTGGCCCAAGGAGAAGGAAGAGCTGTCCCCTGCCTTGGCCACAGCTAAGGTGCCACAGGCAGGCTGTGAAAGGCACAGATGGCCCAAGTTTAGCCTGTGCTGGGGCTGTGACCAGCCAGAGATGCCTATGCGGGGCTCCCAGGCAGTGGGAGAACTCAAAACGTGTCTCAGAGTGCCCTGCTGCTGCAGAGCCCAGACGCTGCGGGACATCAGTACTAAAGCCAGCGGGTTTGGTTGTAAAGCCTTCCAGAAGCTTGCACCAGGCACAACCCCCAGCACATGGCCAGGCTCACCCACCTCAGCAGCAGCAAGGCCACCTGTGAACATGGGAAAGAGCAAACACAACGTGTTGCCTGCTGATCTGCCCCCTGCCTGCCCTGTGATTGCACAAACTGTACCTCTTGCATATCAGAGGGCAGCCACCAACCCATACTGTGATGGCTTTGTGTTTTGGTTGGTTGTTTTTTGTTGGGTTTTTTTTAATTCAAGTCTTACACTTGCTATTAAGTTTACACTTTATACTTGATGGAATGTATGGCTTTGTTCAGGAAACTGCACTATGGTGTTGCAGTACTTTCAGCAGTTCTCTGCGTGGCACAATATATTGTGATAAGTTTCATTTTAATCAGAAAAACAACCCACCCCCAACCTTAACCTGTCTCACCCTCTGTCCTAAAGAAGCAGACTTTAGCTTGAGTAGCACTTAAGCTTAGAATACCTGTACTTAAGGGCTTGATTTGTATCTCTCTTAACCTAACCTTTTTAAAGCAGCATCAAATAAATAAATAAAAGCACAGTAATTAATATTTAAAGGAGGGACGTGAGCAAATCACTCTTCCCAGTTAGACAGATGTCTCAGCAGTTCTGTGCCACTTCAGGTGTTTGCTGGCAGTGCATTTGAGTGAACTGTGATGGTTTTGTTCAACAGTAATCTTCTGTACAGGCAGAAAAAAAAAAAACAACTCAAACTTTTCTGCTTGAAAAGCTGTAAAATATAACCTGTTTGCGTGGGTCTGATCCTGTGAACTTCACTATGTGTGTTTATATGATGAGGAACCGAAAAAACAGTCCTATTCTGTATTTGTACTACTGCTTGTTTGCTACAATAGCTTTAATGATTTCTAGAGATTAAGTATATGTTGAAGCAGGCCAAGTAGCTTTAGCCTACAGCCTGGAATAGGATTATTGCCTTTTATTCAAGCCTCCTAAACAGTGTCACTCTTGTTAGTAAATCATTTAAAGTCATGCTGAGACTTTGTAACCCATGAAGTGGATCTCACGAAGTGATGTGAAGTATAATTAAGTGATTGTGGCTCTTTTGGTAGGTTTGGGTCAGCACACACATCATTGGCACACCTTCCGTATCTGCAATTCACTGTTACAGGGACAGAGAGAACCACCTGTGACTAAAGCTGTCTTATGGCCACCCAACAATTCTAACAGCACTCTCTGAAATGAAAGCAAACTGCTCTTTAACTTATTTTCACATGTTTACAGGCAAACTGATATGGCAAACAGCTTATTTTCTAACACTAGCTTACAGAGCATTATTTTGCAGTCATCTAGTTTGAAGTCAAATCTTACTACTGTGTGAAGTAATTCCTGTTGTACAGAAGTTAACCTGTTGTTTAAAATGAATGGTTTTAAAAAAAGTGCAAATGACAAATACATGTTGGTGTTTGTATGGGTTTATCTAGAATAAAATGCATTTGGAGGTTATTTTGATTAACTTGTATATTTTAAACTGGTTGAAAGAAAACAAGCATAGCTTGTCATAGTGCCAGGGTGACACCAGGAAGGGAGTGTAAGGCCCTGCCTGGGGCCAGCTGAGGGGCACTGCTGCATCTCCTCTGCCACAGCTCCAGCCCTGCTAGGCTCCAGGGCAGAGGCACGTGGGCAAAGGACCCTGTGTCACACACAGCTCTGTGTCACTCTGACCTTGGGAGGTGCAAGAAATGGAGGGTGCACTGCAGGGGCAGGTGACGCTGGGGGCAGGGAGGTACTGGCCTGAAACCCAGCTGTGCAGGGCCCAGGGGCAGGGGTAGAGGGGGGTTCCTCAGGATGAGGGTTCCCAGCAGCCTTTCTACCTTCAAGAGCCACACTGTATCATCACTACTTTAAAGCTTTGAGGCTGATGACACTTCTAAAAAGCTGAAAAAGTTAAAAACAAGGAAAACCTGATACACATTCTTGCTGCAGGGACAGGAAATGAACCCTTGCACAGAGAGCCTGAGATGACTAGGAAAGGGAACCCACAAACCAATAGATAGCCATCATTCTTCCTCCTGCTACTACCCTTTTTCTGCCCTCCAAGGCTTCTCTAGTTTGTATAAACCACCCTCCCTGCCCCCTGACGACAGATGAAGTCTCACTGAAGCCCACATCACCACAGCTGGGGACAGAGATGCAAGGCTGTTGAGAGCCAGCTCTTGCATTTGTACTGGTGGTAAATGTTAGTGAACATACCATTTGGCAAAGCAGGCACAGACACAGATAGTTACTTTTCCAAAAGAATCCTGCAGAAGACAGTAGAAGTAGCTTCCCTTCTAATAGTTACACTGTTTTCCTCAGAGAAGTCTTTACATAATCCCCAAGAAAGTGCAGTACAGTCCTTATCCTTAGGTACTGGGCTGAAAATAAAAAAATGCAGCCTCTGGAGAGAAGAGTGGGATCATGGACAATGTCACCCATATGCAATGTAGTTCATTGTCTATTATTACAGTTTAGTAACAATACCAAAGAAGATATTAAAAGAAATCATAGCATCACAGAATAGTTTGGGTTGGAAGGAATGTTAAAGATCATCTCAGAATTTCATTATTTTGGAAAAAAACAAAAATAAACCACAAAAAATCAAACACAAAATAAACCCAGATAAAAACATTCCTACACTTCCATGGAAGTTTTCACTATCAAGCTATAAAAAGAATGGATGCTTTACATATTTTTTTACTAAGCTAATAATGAAGGAAAATAAAAACCCAATTTTAAAGAAATACATTCAACCTTGAATAAATAATTCTATTGTAGTAAAGCAACCAAATTACAGTAGCAACAAATACAACCTCACATTTTCATTGTGTGAGGGCAATGTGTTATACTTCATCTCTACTACATGAAAAACAACTGATTATTGCTTATTCCCATTACAAAAATACAAGAGGCACATGTTCAAGGGTACCAAATTAAAGTTTTCAGCACTTTTTCCATTTCATTTCATCCTATCTGCCTGCACAGGATCTTCGGCATAACAATCAAAATGTAGATTACAACACTGTTAACAATCAAACCAGAAAAACTCCAAACTGATACAGTAATTTCTACATTGAAGGAGTAAGAACAGATTTTAAAGGATTTACCTAAAAAAAAATAATATTTTTCATTTTAAATATCAGCACCATCCAAGCCTTGATAAATGTCTTTTGAAGTTTCACGTCATGAGATTATTTCATGTTTGAACTTCCACATACTTTTACATTTATATAAAAGCATTTCCAAATGTAGTTAATCTTTCAGTGCTTTTGAACCACTACATTTGATAACTGATGACAGTCTATCCAAAATAAACACAAAACGATACAGACCGTA